GGAGTGTTACTAGTGTCAGCGAGATTAGCAGTGGTACGTGTCAGTCGTAGCGAAGAGCGTGGCAATGAGAGCAGTCGCGGTGGTTGTGACGGCGACGGCAGCCTGCAGTTCCCTTGCAGTGGTGGTGGCGGCCTCAGCAGTGACGTTGGCAGTGGCCCATATAATGATGAGGGCGGCAGCGACCTCCCGCAGTGGTGTTGTATGCGGCCCCGATGGTGGCGAAGGGTAAATGCGGCCCCTTTTAATTACGACGGTGACAGCAGTACTGGGCGATGATGGTAGTGGCGATTACCGTACTCGTGACGGGCAGTAGTGGGCGGCCTGGGGCGACGATAATGGCGGCGGCCCCAGTAATGAAGACAGTAGCAGCGGGCCCTGATGGTGGCAATGGGGACAGCGGCCCTGGCTGGCGATAGTTAGTGTTCGCGGTCCTCGGTGATGATGGAGGGCGGCCCACGGTTGTAGCTTCGGCCTTGGGGCGGCAGTATTAATAGCGGCCCCGGTGATGAGAGCAGCGGTACGGGCCCTAACGGTGATGATGATTATGGCGGCGGCCCTGGATGGCAGTGAATAGCGGGCGGTCCTCGATAGAATTGTCGGCCTTAGGGCGGCAGTAATAGTAGCGGCCCCCGGTGATTAGAGCGGCGGTACGGGCCCTAACGTTGACGATGATTATAGCGGCGGCCCTGGATGGCAGTGAATAGCGGGCGGTCCTCAGTGAAATGTCGGCCTCGGGGCGGTAGCGGTGCTGGCGGTCCAGGTTTGTTGATACCTACGGACAACTGATGATTAGTATGTTCCCCCAGGGCATCGAAAGGTTGCCCAGTCCCCCCGTATGTATTCGCGGCCGCTAGGCGCTGTAGGGAGGTGGTTCCCTCCCCTCCAGCGCCCGCTGGCCGCGCGGTATCGCAAGCAGGCAGGGGTGTTCGGAATTGGGCACGCCCAAACGGATCTTGCCCCCTGTCTGCTTGAGACCGTAACCAAAAATGGGTCTAGCCCATAATGGTTTTGGGGTGTTGCTTGAGGGGTATTCCCCCCCTTGCAGCCCCCCTCAACCAATCAGTCTTCCTCCGAGGAGGAAAGCCAAGAGCGCCCCAAATAGGCGCGAAGCCCAGGCTGCGCTCCGTGCTTACCTACGGACAACTGATGCTGGTTGAGTTCATGCTGGCAGCTTTAGCTCTGGTTTTGTATGAACCGTTTGAGAAGTGAATGGGCTTATTCCGTGTTATGGCTTTTGCGCAGTGAACTTCTTCCATCTGTTGGTGCGCATGAGTATCCAAGTTGCTGTTTGTGAAATCTGCATGTGCTTACCATGCCAGCATCGCGTATGCGTATGTACGCCTGTATGTATGTACATAGGGGTGCTTTTAGTCTTGTTGGTATGTTAGTTTGTGTGTACGCCTACCAGTATGTATGTATGTATGTTCATATATTGGTACCTATGTGCAGTTGTAAGACGTATGCTAGGGTGATGTTGAATATGTTATTGTGGCGTAGGCAAAGCTACGTTACAAATAGATAAAGAAGCTGTTGATGACACAAGGAATTCTTACCAACGGTAAATGTGGTTTTTGTACGATTGCTACAACCTGTAGTTATTGAATCATGGCTACGTCTTATGAACGCGCGCAATGTCAACGTGGCCTTACTTTTCCTAACCGCGAATCCAAATGGCTACTCTTTTTCTTGCGTGATGTGGTATTATCGGTTCATGCTCGATAGTGTTCTTCTAGGGTAGTATGTTACTACTGTAAATCACTGTTACCAGCTTTTTGCACTAAATTTTGTACTTTTCTTTATTCGAAACGCGAAAATTGTTTAGTTTGCTGCTTGGGATTTCTTTGGTGCTTTTTTTAGTTTGAAGATACCGAATCTGTAAATCTTAAAAAAAAAATCTAAGCTAAATTAATAGCAATCGTAAATATTTTAGCAACTTTACAAAAATGGAAACAAAATCATGGCACAATGATAGTCATAAGCGAGCAGATGTTTGCCAACAAATTTTTGACACAAAAAGATTTTTCCCACTATGCTCTCAAATAAGGCACATTAAAAAGGGAAATCAAATTTCGTTATGTTTGAGGTGTCAAGCAGTCGGAAAGAAAAGTTCTTTATGTTGCTTTAGTTCATGACATAATAAGAGACTGCAGTATAAATTTAAACTACCACATAGTTCACGAAACTTCGTTTTTTGTTTTTGCTTTCGTTTGACAGGAATTGCAGAAAAAAATGTGCAAACTGAAGAACAATTTAACATATAAACAGTCAGGAAAAATTATTTAATTATAAATAAAATTATAAATTTTCTTGAATGCAAGCGAAGCGGCAAGGCTGTACACAGCTGCAAATTAGAAAATGAGAACAGGAATGTTATCGTCGTTTGGACGAAAATATTTGAATTTATAAAAACAGAAAAAATTCGACCGTCGAGCAAGAAACATTTAATTTTATTAATTTAAATCAGCATCCATACAAAAAAACGGTGGTAGTGCACTTTAGCGAAGCTAGGTCAAAATGGATGGAAAAAGTTCGAGAGTGGTATCAATCGACGCGTCATAACGCCAATAATAACAATACGAGACCGGAAATTAACATTTTTAATTCATTAAAGAGTTATTTGCACACTTGCACTTTCCGCACTATGTTTAGATGAATTTCACGCAAATCAATGGAATAAATGAACTTAATTTAACACTATTTATCAGTTTTTATACATGTGTGATGTTTTAAGTGTACACTTTCGCGAAATTCTGTATTTAATAGCAATATTCCGATGCACGCAAAATGTATTCAACAAAGTGTGATTGATTTTGACATTGCTCTCATAAGAAGCAGGCTATAATGTCAAATTGAAAAGATTTGAAAATGTGTTTTTTTTTCAAATTTGAATAAAAAAAAAATACACACAAATTTTTCAAGCAACAAATTTTTTTAATAAACGTGAAATTGTTAAGAGATAAACCGCCGAGAACAGTAAGTAAGTACATTTAAGTTTGGTAATAAGTAAATACGTTCGACTTTGCTTAAATATTTAATGTAAGGAAACCAAGATGAAACGGAGCAAAACGTTTGAACGGTGCGCTGTATGCAATATGACATATAAAAATAAACGCACAAAAGAATAAAACTTGGGCAATTAAAAACAAGAAAATTTCTAAAACGATTTTATAAACAATTTGTTTTATTTTATCGACAAAATATATGTGATGTAAGTAATGTAAGTAAAACCAAAGAACGTAAATGTATAAGAAGCGACAACTCGTTAAAGTCGGCGAGTGAGGTCTGAAAGGTTGAGATGAGGAGTTCGCGTCCGTTTTAACATCCATTTTCGTAAATGAATTCGCCGCACATATGGTTTCGCGGCGATAAAGAACGTTAAGAAAAAGTGACCGATGATAGAAATAATAAAATGAAATGAGAAAAAACATGGCCGCAGCTCTTTTTGTTTATTTGCTGACGGCATTTAACAATTTGCATGCGCATGTGCATAGATTTACTTTATTTTATAATTTCAAACAAATATAAGTAAATTAAAAACATGCGCTATGCTAAGCTTCCTCTTTAGTATGGAAGTTGTAATTTATGGATGAAATTACCCTTTTTATATCAACCAAATGTACATTTATAATCTATAAATAATTTACATCAATTTGTACAAATGTACTCTTGCGATTTCCTCCTAACATATGTATATTTCTACATCCATGCAAATATACGTACATACGTACATACGTACATATGTACATATACGCATATGCGACTAAAACACAACAATAACAATTTCATTCATAAACGCATGCGCATATTCTTCAAGGTCAAACTCATTCATTCATAAATTCAATTACCACACATCTCCCCGCAAGCGCATCGCCCACAAGCGCAACTTCTGCGCGGAGCCACAAAAATTCTAAAATGTAAAATTGAAGAAATCACTGCCAGTCAAATGAAAAGTTGCAACTCCGCTGTAAAATCTGAGGACATTTGCAAAAATAACTTATCTCGAGCTTAGCCATTATTTCTCTAAACTTCTAAATCACTGTGCTCCTTCCAACTTTCAAATTATTAATTAGTTGCTTAAGATTTTATTTTAATAAAAAACAAAATAAACATACATTTTTTGCACAAATGGCCCATGATATTTTGATGTAAACTCAAAACTTCTAAAATCACATACATAAGTGGTTTTACAACAAATG